TATTAAACAACCACGGTGACATCACACATCCTTGTCTAAGGCCTACTTTTACTGGGAAATAATCTCCCTCTTTCCTAATACTTTAACTTGAGCCTCACTATCCTCATAAAAACTCTTCACTGCTTTCAGTAACCTACTTCCTACACCATACACCTGCAACATCTGCCACATTGCCCCCCTATCCACCCTGTCATATGCCTTTTCCAAATCCATAAATGCCACAAAAACCTCTTTAGCCTTATCTAAATACTGTTCAATTATATGTTTCACTGTAAACACCTGGTCCACATACCCACTTCCTTTCCTAAAGCCTCCTTGTTCATCTGCTATCCTATTCTCTCTCTTACTCTTAATTCTTTCAATAATAACTCTACCATACACTTTACCAAGTATACTCAACAGACTTATCCCCCTATAATTTTTGCACTCTCTTTTGTCCCCTTTGCCTTTATACAAAGGAACTATGCATGCTCTCTGCCAATCCCTAGGTACCTTACCCTCTTCCATACATTTATTAAATAATTGCACCAACCACTTCAAAACTATATCCCCACCTGCTTTTAACATTTCTATCTTTATCCCATCAATCCCGGCTGCTTTACCCCTTTTCATTTTACCTACTACCTCATGAACTTCCCCCACACTCACAACTGGCTCTTCCTCACTCCTACAAGATGTTATTCCTCCTTGCCCTATGCACAAAATCACAGCTTCCCTATCTTCATCAACATTTAACAATTCCTCAAAATATTCCTTCCATCTTCCCAATACCTCTAACTCTCCATTTAATAACTCTCCTCTCCTATTTTTAACTGACAAATCCATTTGTTTTCTAGGCTTCCTTAACTTGTTAATCTCGCTCCAAAACTTTTTCTTATTTTCAACAAAATTTGTTGATAACATTTCACCCACTCTCTCATTTGCTCTCTTTTTACATTGCTTCACCACTCTCTTAACCTCTCTCTTTTTCTCCATATACTCTTCCCTCCTTGCATCACTTCTACTTTGTAAAAACTTCTCATATGCTAACTTTTTCTCCCTTACTACTCTCTTTACATCATCATTCCACAAATCGCTCCTCTTCCCTCCCGCACCCACTTTCTTGTAACCACAGACTTCTGCTGAACACTCTAACACTACATTTTTAAACCTACCCCATACCTCTTCGACCCCATTGCCTATGCTCTCATTAGCCCATCTATCCTCCAATAGCTGTTTATATCTTACCCTAACTGCCTCTTTTAGTTTATAAACCTTCACCTCTCTCTTCCCTGATGCTTCTATTCTCCTTGTATCCCATCTACCTTTTACTCTCAGTGTAGCTACAACTAAAAAGTGATCTGATATATCTGTGGCCCCTCTATAAACATGCACATCCTGAAGTCTACTCAACAGTCTTTTATCTACCAATACATAATCCAACAAACTACTGTCATTTCACCCTACATCATATCTTGTATACTTATTTATCCTCTTTTTCTTAAAATATGTATTACCTATAACTAAACCCCTTTCTATACAAAGTTCAATCAAAGGGTTCCCATTATCATTTACACCTGGCACCCCAAACTTACCTACCCCACCCTCTCTAAAAGTTTCTCCTACTTTAGCATTCAGGTCCCCTACAACAATTACTCTCTCACTTGGTTCAAAGGTTCCTATACATTCACTTAACATCTCCCAAAATCTCTCTCTCTCCTCTACATTCCTCTCTTCTCCAGGTGCATACACGCTTATTATGATCCACTTTTCGCATCCAACCTTTACTTTAATCCACATAATCCTTGAATTTACACATTCATATTCTCTTTTCTCCTTCCATAACTGATCCTTCAACATTACTGCTACCCCTTCCTTGGCTCTAACTCTCTCAGATACTCCAGATTTAATCCCATTTATTTCCCCCCATCGAAACTCCCCTACCCCCTTCAGCTTTGTTTCACTTAGGGCCAGGACATCTAACTTCTTTTCATTCATAACATCAGCAATCATCTGTTTCTTGTCATCCGCACTACATCCATGCACATTCAAGCATCCCAGTTTCATAAAGTTTTTCTTCTTCTCATTTTTAGTAAATGTCTACAGGAGAAGGGGTTACTAGCCCATCGCTCCCGGCATTTTAGTCGCCTCATACGACACGCATGGCTTACGGAGGAAAGATTCTTTTCCACTTCCCCATGGACAATAGAAGAAACAAATTAGAACAAGAGCTATTTAGAAAAAGGAGAAAAACCTAGATGTATGTATATACAGGAAGGCCCCACTTATACGGCTGGTTAGGTTCCAGGCTACCGCCGTAAAGCGGAAACCGCCGTAAAGTGGAACACCCTTTTTTTCCACTTACAAATGCATACAAACACTAGATAACAAGTTTACACTAACATATATTAAGTTAGCAATAGAACCAGGCATCAAAAAACAATAAAAAGTACAATACACACATAGTGCACTCATTACTTACCTTAAAATATTTATAGTCTTAATCTAGGGTGAGACAAGTAGTATTTATTGTAAGAAATCAAGTGTGGTATGTATGGTAGTCAGCCAGGCTACCATACCAGGCCACCCCACCCACACATACAATTCTATGATATTTAAGCATCCCAGAGCGATAAAATGTATATACAGTTCACTCATTACTTACCTTAAAATATAGGGTGAGATGAGTAGTATTTATTGTAAAAAATCAAGTGTAGTATGTATGGTAGTCAGCCGGGCTACCATACCAGGCCAACCCACCCACACATATATTCCATGATATTTAAGCATCCCAGAGCGATAAAATGTATATACAGTTCACTCATTACTTACCTTAAAATATTTGTAGTCTTAATGTAGGGTCAGGAGTAAGTAAATGAGATAAAACGAATAAATGAGAGAGAGAAAGAATGAGTGCATGAGAGAGTACAGGCGCAGAGTTATGTAAACAAACCAGGCGAAGGTAAGTTTTGTAAACGAAGTGTACACGTCTGGTTTGTGTACAAGTTACATTGTGTACAGGTTGTCTCTACACTGATATGGTAGAATAAATAAAGAAGAACACTCCCATTCTCATGTAACATCATTTTGAGAAGAAATGATGCTCTGAGTGAAGGCAATGGAAATAAGTCACTCTGACTTTTTTGGGTTATCCTAGGTTCTCTACACATATGTTGTTATGTATGATAATCTATGTAACTGTATTTGTGTATACCTGAATAAACTTACTTACATACATACGAAAGGAATAATTTTCTACAGTTACCCCCAGTAACACATTTTCTCTTATGTTAGATTAGAGAAAATGTTATTCTTGGCATCACTTGTACAAGTTATCTGGCTACCACATCTCATATTTATGTTTATTTATTCTATTGTAGGGTGTATTTATCATCTTTTTATGTTATGTATCGTGTTTATTATATAATTTTGAAAAAAATATCATGGATGGATTAATGAAAATGTGTATATTAACGTAATATACAACATTTAATAAGACTTCCAGCAAGCGTGCGTGAGTGTGTTAGATAGGAGTGAATGGAGACGAATGGTACTTGGGACCTGACGATCTGTTGGAGTGTGAGCAGGGTAATATTTAGTGAAGGGATTCAGGGAAACCGGTTATTTTCATATAGTCAGACTTGAGTCCTGGAAATGGGAAGTACAATGCCTGCACTTTAAAGGAGGGGTTTGGGATATTGGCAGTTTGGAGGGATATGTTGTGTATCTTTATATGTGTATGCTTCTAGACTGTTGTATTCTGAGCACCTCTGCAAAAACAGTGATAATGTGCGAGTGTGGTGAAAGTGTTGAATGATGATGAAAGTATTTTCTTTTTGGGGATTTTCTTTCTTTTTTTTGGGTCACCCTGCCTCGGTGGGAGACGGCCGACTTGTTGAAAAAAAAAAAAAAAAAAAAAAAAAATAGCATTTCTAATATGGCGTCACTTGTGCAAGTCGTCTGCTACCACATCTCATATTTATGTTTATTTATTCTATTGTGGGGTGTATTTAACATCTTTTTATGTTATGTATCGTGTTTATTATATAATTTTGAAAAAATATCATAGATGGATTAATGAAAATGTGTATTTAATGTAATATACGACATTTAAATGAGACTTGATGATTATTATTATCATTACTAATATGACGTCTGGAGACATAAGACACTCTTACTGATTTTAATGTGTACCTGCATGCCAGCACAGTATGTAAGTTTATTTAAGTACAGGTATACATAAGTATAATTATCAGAGTATATATAAAATATGAAATAACTTTTAAAAACATTTGAAATTTTGGAGTTTCCAGACAAAATGGAGAGACTTAGTGCTTACTGAGCTCACAAAGAATGAAAACAAACAAGGTGGGGCGCGGTGACCGTATTAGAAAGTCAGGTGGGGGGAGCCGTATAGCGAGTTTTGGTCATAATTTGAAATGACCATATTAGCGGAACGCCGTAAAGTGAAACGCCGTAAAGCGGGGCCTTCCTGTATACATGCATGTGTGTGTTTGTGAAGTGTGACCAAAGTAAGTGTAAGTAGGAGTAGCAAGATATCCCTGTTATCTAGTGTGTTTATGAGACAGAAAAAAGACACCAGCAATCCCACCATCATGCCAAACAGTTACAGGTTTCTGTTTCACAGTCATCTGGCAGGACGGTAGTACTTCCCTGGGTGGTTGCTGTCTACCAACCTACTACCTATAAATTTTTGATGTACTTTTTTAATTACATTTACAAAAAAGTCATACTATATAGAGGTTTACAAGAGAGCTGACTAAACAGCACACTGTGTAATGTGTATAATACTTCAAATTTATGCTGAAACTACAAGATACTTTAACTCGTTCTCAAAAGTTTTGAGGATCATGATTCTCATTCAGTGATTCCATGCATAAGTTCAAGACAATGATTTAAATATCTAATGTTTACTAATTCAATACTGTAGCATATAGCTTAAAAGTGTCTTTTATGTGCTACTAAGAATAAGACAGAGAAAAGAACAGCACCAGGTGTACCTCATCCATGCTGATACAAAGACCACTTAAGCACTTGAAGGGCCGTTCAGCAGGACAACTCTTTTCGCCACATACCAATTCATCTGTTGCATCAAGACAATTATATGAGCCGTCACATAACATCTTTTCAGCAATACATTTGCCATAGTCACACTTGAAAGGCCGAGTGCTGGGGCAGACGTGTACTCTACTGCAGAAGTCTAGGTCCTCATCTTCACCTTCTTCACAATCCTTAAAGACACCATCACAAAGGTTTTGATTTTCAATGCACTTTCCACTTCGGCACCTGCATGTGAAAATTTGTGCATTTAAAAGCAATGAATATGTGAAAATAAACAATAGTTATATAAATCAGCACCAATCCATGACAACTATAGAAACGAACAAGATAATGGAAGAAATATATATCTCAGGATCCTCAATTATTTTTTTTTTCAACAAGTCGGCCGTCTCCCACCTAGGCAGGGTGACCCAAAAAGAAAGAAAATCCCCAAAACGAAAACACTTTCATCATCATTCAACACTTTCACCTTGCTCATACATAATCACTGTTTTTGCAGAGGCACCCAGATACAACAGTTTAGAAGCATATATAAAGATACAATATAAAAAAGTAACCTGAAATAATATGATAAACTCCATATAGAATATATCATCAGAGCCCCAATTATATATATACTGCCCTATTACACATCCCTCCAAACTGCCAATATCCCAAACCCCTCCTTCAAAGTGCAGGCATTGTACTTCCCATTTCCAGAACTCAAGTCTGGCTATATAAAAATAACCGGTTTCCCTGAACCCCTTCACTAAATATTACCCTGCTCACACTCCAACAGATCGTCAGGTCCCAAAAACCATTTGTCTCCATTCACTCCTATCTAACATGCTCATGAATAGATGTTAGAATTTTTGGCATACAAAATTTAGTCTTTTGGTGGCTGAAAGTCCTTCTCAGACATAGACATGTTGTATTTTTTTCCATGTAATCTTTAATGGTCTTGTTTGAGTATTTATAGTACAGCAATTGAATTTTCTTCAGAAAACCTACTTATAAAGCAACACTACATCTAAAAATTTTGTCTAAACAGGAATGAGAAAGTACATTCTTTTTTTTACATGATGCTTGAAAAAAATTATAATATGCTCTATGCCCTCTGATGAATATGTGAACCATAACCACCACTAATACCACTGCATTATTTTCTATTGCAAAATATATTTTGAATTACAGCCTTCTTCACACGTTGGAACATCAGGAAAGCAACTCATTTTTTAAGTTGGAATGCACTGTATTCAATCATTTTATTTTCAACTCACCTAAAGGGTCTATCCTTCGGACAAGGGAAGGATCTACAGAAGCGTGGGTCCTCGTCCTCTCCTCCTGGGCAAGCTGGCTCACCATCGCACAGATCCATCAGATCCAGACATAATGTGCTACTCTGGCAACGTACAATTTTCTCCTCGGGGCATTTTTCTGAAGTTGAAAAAATGAAATAAAACTAAGCACAGTATTATTCCAGCATATTACCTTCCACACATGCAAAAAATTATTATTTAATCACATAGGGACAATCAAAGAAATTACTATACAATACACAATTAACTCACACATAGAACAAAGAAATTTATAATGATGTTTTGGTCTGGCTTGAGCTGTTAACCCCTTGAGGGTCAGTGCCATAGTTCTAAGGATTTGAACTCTGGGTCAGTGCTGTTGAACTACATTATGAGCTCAGCTAACTTAGATAATCTGTGAGGGGTAAATTTTGGCCTAGATATGAGAGAATGAGTCTGTATGGTGAGAGTACACCACATAAAAAGAGTCCTGCCCCATGCAGTGCATGATAAAGAAAAAAAAACTGACCGGGTTTTTGGTATAAAAGAGCAAAATTTGTGGTGTATTTTCAGATAGCTTTTATGGTTTTATTTTTGGTTTCGTGGTATCAATTGACAGAAAGGAAGATATATTACTGAAGTAGAGATGATTCTGATTGGTTTCAGGACTGGAAGTAGGTTGAAATTGGGCTCAAAGTAGTGGAAATATTTGATTTTTGACAATATTCTAGAGTAAACAAATCACATAGCTTGTTTAATACACGTCCAACTAGTCAGTCTAACATGCATTCACAAACATGCTGACATTATTTATACAATTATTACAATAATGCATAACAGTAAACCTTATATTTTTTGTGTGAATAAAAATTTAAAATAGAAAATAAGTGTAATATAAGAGAAGCCTGGGAAAATAACTAATGAACAGAGGAAATGTTATTTTAGTGCCAGGAATGCCTGCACTGTTTATTCTGGACTATTTTGAAACTGGCATATTTTGAAATATGTGTGAATTTGCCCAAATTACCAATTTCTGATTACTTTATTTGGTAGTTGAGTTAGTTGACTGGGCGATTTCTTGTGCTCAATCAATAAAATGGAAGACATACTAGTGAAATAGCTAAGAATTTAGTCTACTGGAACAATGTAATTGGCCTAGAATAGGACTCAAAGTGGGCAAAATCTCCAATACGTAAATATTGCTGGCACAGCAAAATTTGCAAAACCACAATTTCATCAATTTTCCATCAAATTTCACAATTTTTGTTTTATTACCTTCAGAAAAAGATTTTTTTTTACCATTTCATAAGAAATTTTTTTTTTTTTTTTGTATGGACACTTTTTAGATTGGGGGGTCTGGACCCTCAAGGGGTTAATTAGTCCAAGTCGGACTGAAACATCATCCAAAGTGTGTGACTAGTTAGTAATCCAAACCGGACTGAAATGTCATCATAAGTTTCTTCTATGTGTTTGTTATTTGTGCATTTTTCTAGTCATGGTATTGTGCCTTTTTATTCTTTAAAGTACTGTACAGTATATTATATACGTATATCCATCCATAGCTTCTGGGAAAGGAGCAGGGGCAGCTTCCACACCTAGAAAGTCAAAACAAAAAAGACTAATATATTTTTTTTTTCAACAAGTCGGCCATCTCCCACCGAGGCAGGGTGACCCAAAAAGAAAGAAAATTCCCAAAAAGAAAATATTTTTATCATCATTCAACACTTTCACCTCACTCACACATAATCACTGTTTTTGCAGAGGTGCCCAGAATACAACAGTTTAGAAGTATATACATGTAAAAATACACAATATATCTCTCCAAACTGCCAATATCCCAAACCTCTCCTTTAGAGTGCAGGTATTGTACTTCCCATTTCCAGGACTCAAGTCCGATTATATAAAATAACCAGTTTCCCTTAATCCCTTCACTAAATAATACCCTGCTCACACTCCAACAGCTCGTCAGGTCCCAGATACCATTCGTCTCCATTCACTCCTATCTAACACGCTCATGCATGCACAATTAGGAAATGTTGATATTTTACTGTATAATAAACTAAAGTCAGCCTATGGCATCATTCAACAATGGTACAGTGGATCCCCGGATTAAGTCATCATCAGAATAAGTAATATTTAGAATAATTGTTTTGTCATCAAAATATTGGCTCAGTGAACGTCACTGAACTCGGTATAAGTCATTTGTCTGGAATGCGTCCACACGGCCCTAGAGGCCCCGACACTCCATGTACAGCCAGTGTGCAATTGTTTACCAGCCAGTGAGGATGATCCCATGCGTTCATATGATACATTTTGTATTATTCCATTCTTTTTAGTGCTTGTAACTGCTAAATAAGCCACCATGGGCCCAAAGAAAGCTTCTAGTGCCAGCCAGCCCTTTGGTAAAGGGCTCAGAGAGAGGGAAGAACGTGCTTTTTTCACTGATTCTGCAATATGTACAATACTAAAGCAGCAGGAGTCGATAAAGGCTATAGTGCCAGCCAGCGATAAAGTGTAGCATTAACAGTGTAGCAAGTAAGTTAAGCGATTAATCGATAGAAAAAGGACAGCACGAAACTGACTCCTCCACTGTTGTTGGAAGTATATAGGGCGACTGACAAGACCGCCATCTCTGCTGCCTCTTGCTGCCACCTTCACCATCACTAAGACCGCCATCTCTGCTGCCTCTTGCTGCCACCTTCACCATCACTAAGACCGCCATATCTGCTGCCTCTTGCTGCCACCTTCACCATCACTATGTAAAGCTTATCTTTCAGTGGCCCTTATACACCCAACAACAAACAACACACCACCACTTGTGACATTCTTAATGCCATATTTTATTCATTCTAGAGTATATATTGTATTTCTATGTTATTAATATTGTTTATTATGTCATATTAGATGAATTGTGCTAGATAAATAAGCCATAGAGCTGATATTAGTGTCATATTGAAGGACTATCTTGTCCTGTCTCCCAACACAATTCCCAATATACGCCAGAAACAGACATCTCTGGAACACTTTTTTGAGCGACAGGGGTCCAGTGACTCTCAAACTGGTCCTAGTGGCATTAAAAAACAAAGAAAGGAAGTAACCCAGGACAAGGACTTGGTACCTGAAGACTTTATGAAAGGGGATTCCCCTTCCAAACAATTGTAAACTTCTCCATCCTCTCCCCTCCTCCCATTTTCTATACATCACCATGTCTTCAGTAAAGGTAAGTGTGATGTTATTGTTTTATTCTTCATGTATCATTGTTTTGTGAAGGTAAATTTATATTTCATGTAGAAAACATTTTTTTTAATACTTTTGGGTGTCTGAAATAGATTAATTGGATTTCCATTACATTTCTTATGGGGAAAATTAATTCGGAATAAGTCATATTCTGGATAAGTCACTCTCTCTGGAACGGATTAATTACATAATCCGGGGGTCCACTGTATTAGGCTTTTTATGCTTATAAATTACTTGTAAACTCTAGTGCTGCACTACTGTCACATTCACCAATACAGGTCAGCCATCACTAATCTAGCATCATTGGAACCTTTAGTGTGGCAGATTAGTGAGTCTGCTGGATTACAGAGTGGTTAGGTTAGAATACACTTAATTAACTTATCAATAAAGACTTTATCTGCTACATCTTCCTCATTTTCATCACTAATTTCTCCTCCACTGGCTTGCTGCTGTGGATTTACAACCATCTGTACAATTTCTGAATCAGTATAATGAAGAAATTTGAGTCAGTATAATGATGAAATTTTAAATTATGCTAGCCGAAATTAGTGCTGGATCACTGATGGAACCAGATAACTGATTGCCGGATTAGTGATGGCCGACCTGTACTTAGTTCTTTCAGCTTTAATAAAAATCGGCATGAATGTTGGTAAAAAATGAGTACTGTTTTTTTTAACACACAAGCTGTGTCCCACCTAGGTAGGAAGATCCAAAAAAGAGGAAATACATTCACCATCATTCATTCAATCATTGTCTTGCCAAAAGCATGCCTACATCACAGTTCAGATGGTCCTCTGACCTGCAACATGAGTATTATATATTAGACTTAAGTAGACTTAAGGCTTAAGTAATCTATAAGTACTAGGTTAAGTCTGCCCGAAATGCCTCGGCATGATAGTGGCTTTCTTCATACCAGTCAAATTATGAAATGTAAACACACTTTGTAATCTTAGCAAAGAAATAAAATTTTATTTTATTTCATTTTTATTTTTTATTTATTAAATTTACAGCTTTTCAAAACTTACTTGTCCAACAATTGTCCTCATCAGCTCCATTCATACATTGAATTCGTCCATCGCAAGTGCTGGAAGCAGGTGTGCAATGATTTGTCACATCACCACACCAATACTGATTAGAGCCTGTGCAACATCCTGTATGATTAAAATAAAGTTATAATCAATGTGAAAGATACTGTAATTTTTTTTAACACGTCGGCCGTCTCCCATAGAGGCAGGGTGACCCAAAAGAAAGAAAAAAAACTTTTACTATCAGCCAACACTTTTACCATCACTCATACATAATCACCGTCTTTGCAGAGGCACCCAGATATACTGGCTGTCTCCCACCTAGGCAGGGTGACCCAACAAGAAGAAATGTATAAAGTTTTTTCTTTTAACATTTAGTAATTTACACAGGAGAAGAGGTTACTAGCCCTTTGCTCCCGGCATTTTAATAGCCTTTTACAACACGCATGGCTTGAAGGAAGGATTCTTTTCCACTTCCCCATGGAGATGTAAATTTTTTTTTTAACACTGCCATTTCTTACCAAGGCAGGGTGAAATTTAATTTTTTTTTTTTAACAAGTTGGCCGTCTCCCACCGAGGCAGGGTGACCCAAAAAGAAAGAAAATCCAGAAAAAGAAAATACTTTTATCATCATTCAACACTTTCACCTCACTCATACATAATCATTGTCTTTCCAGAGATGCTCAGATATGACAGTTTAGAAGTCCCTCCAAACTGTCTATATCCCAGACCCCTCCTTTAAAATGTAGGCACTGTACTTCCCATTTCCAGGACTCAAGTCCGGCTAAATCTATAATAACCAGTTTCCGTGAATCCCTTAACTAGATGTTACCCTGCTCACACTCCAACAGCTCGTCAAGTCCCAAAAACCATTCGTCTCCATTTACTTCTATCTAACACGCTCACACACGCTTCCTGGAAGTTCAAGCCCCATGCCCACAAAACCTCTTTTACCCCCTCCCTCCAACCTTTTCGAGGACGACCCCTACCCCTCCTTCCTTTCCCCACAGATTTATACGCTCTCCAAGTCATTCTACTTTGATCCAATCTCTCTAAATGACCAAACCACCTCAGCAACCCCTCTTCAGCCCTCTGACTAATACTTTTAGTAACTCCACACCTCCTCCTAATTTCCACACTCCACACAATTTGGTATGTACAACTGTACTTAACCCTTAAACTGTCCAAACAAATTTACGTTCACATGCATAGTGCTCCAAAAGTAGATTTACGTTTTTTTACATATTTTCGATAACAAAAAAAACGTAGATCAAAGTTTTTTTACACGTTTTCAAATTAAAAAAAAAAAAAAATCTACGCTTTTTACATACTTTCAAATGATGAAAAAGCGTAGATCTACATTTGGACAGTTTAAGGGTTAAGTCTTGCTGTTGTAGACTAAGACTGCTTCACCACATAAAATATCCTGCTATCTTTCAGATGAATCTGCATCACCAACACTTTTTCATCATTATTATATCACTACTGTCTTAAGCACTCCTGCCTACTCTCTAAAGCACTTGTATGAAGAATTAACCTTTAAACTGTCCAAAGGTAGATCTACGTTTGCTCGCATAGAGCTCCGAACATAGATCTATGTTTTTTTACATGCTTTCTTATGGAGAAAATCAAGGTCGGAACACTATGTGTGAAAACGTAGATCTACGTTTGGACAGTTTAAGGGCTAACTAACACATCAAATTCTGGCTAGGATAGGTATTCATTTTGCATCTCCAATGCGTCAGGATTAAAAGTTTATACTAGATAAAACTTAATACAAGAGCAAGGGTATGGGTAGTGATAGCATCAGGTTTTCAATGACCTCGTGCAATGTTGAAACTGGGTCATAATGTACATAAAGTTGACTCAAGGATTTTGCATTGAATTTTAGAATTTCTATGTACAATGCAAAGATTATAGCTCTACAAATTCAGTGGTACAGTATCAGAAACATTCTCAAATGATATTCAAGAGTGGTTTTTGCTCACCTTGGGAATTATCTCTACACTCGAGATGCTGGCAGCTGCCACTGACGCAACCCATTCCTGCACCGAGACATGTGCTGCTGTTAAAGCATTCACCACCAGCACTGACACACTTACCAGGGATGTCCTCCTGTGATGTACACCCCTCAAGCTCTGTGGAAAATAAAGATTTTTTCTACAGACACTCATGCAAAAAATTTACATCTAATAAAATGATGATCGTCACTGCACTGTAGAGTATTTTGAAAATACTACATAGTTACACGAGTATTTGGAGGTGAGACATACAGTACTTGCACTCTGAAGGAAGGGTATGGATTTTGTATTTCAAAAGGGTCATTTGAATTGTGTCTGTGACCTTCTGGCAAGACAACTGTTGAATAAACGATGGTGAATGTGTTTCCCCCTTTTTTTTTTGTCACCCTAACTTAGAGGAAGATGGCTCGTGTGGCAAAAACTAAAATAATAATCTAAAATGGTATAAGAAAATTTTAATAAGGTAGGACGCTGATACTGTGTAAGCACATTAAATTTTGTTTCAATACTGACAAACACAAAAGTGTATCCTGGTAAACAACAGTGTACTCTAAGTACTGTATATGTGTGTGTGTGTTGAAATGGCAACTGTCTTTGTGGTGTGGGATGATGTGAGATCTTGAGGATGATAGTTGCTTCAAAATCATTACAAAACTTCAATTTAACAGATTTCAAAAATACGGGATAAAATCCGCTGGGTTAATTGATTCGGAAACAGCAGACAAAGTCTGATGATTACAAAGTTATTGTTACAATAACAGCAAAACATCTCATCTCTATCCACAACAATGGCCACTGGCTATTACCGGCTACCTGCTCTCCTCTATTAATCCACTAAATCGAGGGTTAGCTGTAATTTAAATTATCAAAAATAGAAAAATGTGTACAGAAAAAAGGTACTAGTTTTGACATGTGGCAATACTGAGATGTTTACTATATAAATCAGATTTATTTTTGGTCTTTTTCTTTAGAACATATCTCTAAGTATGGTTTATATGCATTATCAAGTCCTTAAATCTATACTGTAGTCTCTGAACTACAGAATTTCCTGAATACTGAAAATTACAAATTTAAATTTTAACCCATTTTGATGAGTAATATGCATCTGCTCCAACCAAAAATTTGTTTTCCTCTACGATCACTAAATTCTTCTAATTTGCTCCTTTCCCAATTAATCTCTTTCCCTCCTCTCACAATCATCAGATGAAAGATCCAGCCTCCAGCTCCATCTATGCTGAATGATCAACACTAGTTTAGTATTTAGTCTTTCCCTACCAAACTCTTAGTCCTTTCTTCCCCACATTACCCCCTCACAAAACTCTTCCTCACATTACCCTCTCACAAAACTCTTCCTCACATTACCCCCTCACAAAACTCTTCCTCTTTTCCTACAAAGTACATTGGAACCTCAAATATCGAACTGCTCCCAAGTCGAACAATAATGTAAGTATACTTTTGTAAGTGCTTTTATAAATGTAATTTTGAGGGTCTGAAATGAACTAATATAATTTATATTTTTCCTGGTGGGAATAAATTAATTCGGTAATGGCACTCAAACAGCCGTCTGGAACGAAGAAAGTTCGATATTTGAAGTTCCACTGTACCTTCCCCTCCTGCTTCCATTACTTAGGGTAACTTTTTTCTTTAACTCACACCCCACTAAGCATTTTTACCTTCCACCATCATACTTTTTTTTTCTTTCTCCTCCTCCTAAAAATTATCTCCTGTTCCCATACAAGATCTTTCCCTATTCTTCACACAATTTTTCTGTTTCTCCCCATTCACCCCCCTGCCCCTCTCTCACCCACACACAATGCGAATCTGTACTTTGTCACAATCCAACTGAAATACAATATAAAAAGCACCATACTTTTACACCATCAAGAGTTGATTTATCAGGTATTAGGCTGGAATAGCTTACCTGTATGCTTCCCAAGTCAAAATTAAAAATTTTACTTATTGTTGCTCACCTGAGCAAGTTATTTTACAAATTTCAAACTTTTTTTTTTGTCCATATAAGATTTCCATTATTCAGAATCTCTTATCTTAAGTAGTTTTTAAGCATCAGGATTAATTTGCCCAAAATGTATTGAATACTAGTGGCTTTCTTTTGTACTTTTCAATGTTTTATTACACATAAACTATGTTATTTTGTAGTGTATAAAGAAAATCTTTCTTTCTTTCAACACACCGGCCGTATCCCACCGAGGCGGGGTGGCCCAAAAGGAAAAACGAAAGTTTCTCCTTTTACATTTAGTAATATATACAGGAGAAGAGGTTACTAACCCCTTGCTCCTGGCATTTTAGTCGCCTCTTACAACACGCATGGCTTACGGAGGAAGAATTCTGTTCCACTTCCCCATGGAGATAAGAGGAAATAAACAAGAATAAGAACTAGAAAGAAAATAGAAGAAAACCCAGAGGGGTGTGTATATATGTGCTTGTACATGTATGTGTAGTGTGACCTAAGTGTGAGTAGAAGTAGCAAGACGTACCTGAAATCTTGCATGTTCATGAGACAGAAAAAAGGACACCAGCAATCCTACCATCATGTAAAACAATTACAGGCTTTCGTTTTACACTCACTTGGCAGGACGGTAGTACCTCCCTGGGCGGTTGCTGTCTACCAACCTACTACCTAGGATAAAGAAAATATATAAAATAAATGTTTTAGACACTCTTGCATTATTTGGAATAAGAGACATATCAAAGACATACAGTAAACTAAGTCTAATAACCATACCTGAGGCTGTAGTCTCAGAACTTTGAAACTCCTGTGATACGTTTCACATTATATTGCTACTACTGTATTATGACATTAATTGTATATACAGTGGACCCCCGCATAACGATCACCTCCCAATGCGACCAATTATGTAAGTGTATTTATGTAAGTGCATTTGTACGTGTATGTTTGAGGGTCTGAAATGGACTAATCTACTTCACAATATTCCTTATGGGAACAAATTCGGTCAGTACTGGCACCTGAACATACTTCTGGAATGAAAAAATATCGTTAACCGGGGGTCCACTGTATAACATAACCAATAAAAAATAACCGGAGCTGTAGCCAGGCTTTATGTTTGTCGGAGTTCATAGGCTCGTACCAATAAAAGGCAGACAATGGCATGTCAACAAGTGAATTTATAGACACTGGTAACAGAGATTGATTTTAATACATTTTTCCCAAGACTGGGCTTTATTAGGTATGATACTTGATAAAACCCAGTCATGGGTGAAAAGTTATATTACCAATATCTTTATTTAATACCTATAATGCTTCACTAACTCATTAAAAAGACTGGCATTCTCACCATCAGACATGTATTTCATATACGTAACAATAGTTGGCCAGATGCGCAGGGGCACCCGCCAGTAATAGGGCTGCCCATCGCCACGTTTGGAAGCCATCTCCATCACGCCATCCAAGGGCTTCGGTGTCACTTCGAGGATGAAAATCTTCACACCAATTTTTTTTAGCTTTTGAGCTTCAATTACATCTGCTCCTTCCATCCCAAGGGAGCCAAAGATAGGCAAAACTGAGGAATACATAGAGAAGCTTCAGCATCCTCTAATTAATTTACATATTTTGTTAGCAATCATTTAAACTAATGAGGGAAACACTAATGCTTATTTTCAGAACTAAATCAGTTTCTAAGATAAATGTTAAGTCTTCAATATACAGGAGGGTCACCTCATATACAGCACCTATTTTCAATGTTCCATGTTTTTGTTGGCTTTCAACTGAGCCATTGTTTCACCCGCCTGTGACAATTGCCGGCACATCGATTATAATGAACAATGGCTCAATTTGAAGCCAATGAGAACGTGGAGCACCAAAAAGAAGGTGTTATATGTGTGGGGCCCTCCTGTACAAAGCATTTATTGCAAAGGAAATTACATACTACAACATTAACTAACATTTCCCCCTACACACACAGGAGTTGTGACTCGACCCCTTCAACCACATATGAGTCAGTACAAATGCACACACATGACAACCAGCTTAACAATGAGATGGTGTTGTGGGTAAGGCAGTCTACCTGGGCTATTTTTCTTTAATCAATAAATTAGGATAACTGGAGTGTGAGCAGGGTAATATTTAGTGAAGGGATTCAGGGAAACCGGTTATTTTCATATAGTCGGACTTGAGTCCTGGAAATGGGAAGTACAATGCCTGCACTATAAAGGAGGGGTTTGGGATATTGGCAGTTTGGAGGGATATGTTGTGTATCTTTATACGTATATGCTTCTAAACTGCTGTATTCTGAGCACCTCTGCAAAAACAGTGATAATGTGTGAGTGTGGTGAAAGTGTTGAATGATGACGAAAGTATTTTTTGGGGGGGGATTTTCTTTCTTTTTTTTTGGGTCACCCTGCCTCGGTGGGAGACGGCCGACTTGTTAAAAAAAAAAAAAAACTGTGTTAAGAAATCATATAAGAATTTTGCCACCATTGCATTCAGGAAGTACCATTTCACCACTATTACAGAGGACCACCATAGCAGGCCTACTGGCCTGTGCTATTTCTAGCCTTCACAGTAGATCACGATTTTCCACTCACTCATCTCAACCTACACACGTTCACATAACCCACGCAACCACTTGACCTGCACACCCACTCATCCTACACACCCATTTGACCCACACTCCTTGAAGCTAGATATTTATTTATTTATATTTCAACAAACTGGCCGTATCCCACCGAGGCAGGGTGGCCCAAAAAGAAAAACAAAAGTTTCTCTTTTCAAATTTAGTAATTTATACAGGAGAAGGGGTTACTAGCCCCTTGCTCCCGGCATTTTAGTCGCCTCTTGCAACATGCATGGCTTACGGAGGAAGAATTCTGTTCCACTTCCCCATGGAGATAAGAGGAAATAAACAAGAACAAGAACTAGAGAGAAAATAGCAGAAAACCCAGAGGGGTGTGTATATATATGCTTGTACATGTATGTGTAGTGTGACCTAAGTGTAAGTAGAAGTAGCAAGACGTACCTGAAATCTTGCATGTATATGAGACAGAAAAAAAGGACACCAGCAATCCTACCATCATGTAAGACAATTACAGGCTTTCGTTTTACACTCACTTGGCAGGACGGTAGTACCTCCCTGGGTGGTTGCTGTCTACCAACCTACTACCTAGGTTGAAGCTAGATATGCTAATCTAAGTCACACACTCATTCTAAGCTGAAGACATACCACACCTACCCACTTATACCAATCCCACCTCACTCTACATCTATCCTACCCCAACACAGATTAACCTCAGAACAAACTTCAACATCATATTACTCACACATCACTTTGCAGGTGGCCTTGGATTTTCTGAATTTTTTAAATGCTTCTCTAAGCACAGGTTGTATACGTGTTCCCCACCTCTCATGGGACATGTCATGGAATGCATTTCTCAGAGCACAACGATTGACCCCATCTCCAAAAGATAACTTGGTGACTGTGTAATCGGAATACGTCAACACGCTTACCCTGGTAGATTCTGAAATACTACAATTTAACGTAGAATGATGTTATTTAAATTTAGAAACAGATACATGCACAATATATTTAGTCTTATAAAACTTGCATAATATCAAACTCTTACATATATAAACTGGAACAAATAAATATATACAGTAGTTCAAAAAACACTTAACGCAAAACAAACTATTACCATAGGACACATGTGCAATTCTTAATTATATTTGATGAAATGTTTTACCTGTGTTGCAAACTTCTTCAATCAAATAAATGAGACATTTGTGCAACATCTGGGTATCTTTATTCTGGAAATGTTTTGCCAGCCAGTGGCATCTTCAGTCCAATGCAGAGAAAGGTGACTGAGGAGAAGTTTGAGGTAATCAGTCCCTCAGTCTGGAGTTGATGTGTTCAGTCCATCAATCTTGATAAAATGAGACATTTGCCAGTTATCTAAACTATTTATTCAAATTCTTTAATCAAATACAGGCTTGCAAGACTGACTGCCTCCTACCAAGGCTGAGGGACTGATTACCTCAAGACAACCTCTTCTACTCTCTTCAATGTTACTTTATTTTGCATTTGACTGAAAAAATCAGTTATACAGGTAAAAACATTTTGGCAATGAAGATACCCAGGTATTGCACATGTGTCATATTTATCAATATCATCCATAACAAAAGTTCACAATAGACCAAGTATCTTTGTACAATACATGTTGACAATACCTGCCACTCTACAGGAACAAATAAAACAGATGAAGGCTCAGTGTTCAGTGACCAGGTGTTACCAGAGTAAATTAAATTAAAGAGCAATGACATTCTTACATGCTGTCTGCAATTGTGTGTACCAAGTTAGCTTGGGCTGCTAGTGTCTCAGAAGGTGCATCAGTCGATGAATGCAGCAAGAAGAGTGTGTCACAAATACACTCTCCCTCTGCCAGCACATCACTTATTGAAGTGGCCATATCAACTGTAAAGAGAAAAGACCAGTTATAATGGTTATATTTATAACCATAATTTTTAAAGGGGTGGGCCGGTAAGCCAGCGGAAGACCTCAGTCAGATGACTAAAAGCTCCAGCTGTGGATCATCATAAGAATAAGACCCACATCAGGAAACACTTGTTCTGTTTCCTGGCAAGCTTTACCTAACCTAACCTAGGAATACTTTCAAGAAATACCTATGCAAAATATTACAATATACACAAAGTCTAATGCATATTGTAAATTTAGTCTTTTCATAATGAAAACATCTTAACTAAACTTCATTATTATTCTTTCTCAAAGACACAAAACTATTGATACTAGAATACAAATAGATATAACTGTAAAAAATTCTGCGTCTTTTTGGTTTGTATGAAGAGTTATGTGCAAGGGGTCCACCTGAATTAATTGGGAACTTTTTGCTTCTGTTTCTATTTATAATGGGAACTCTTGTTACCTTTCCTTTCATCACCTAGGTATGGGCATTACTTCCCCTCACACATTGGAATGCAGGGGCAATACAGGAAAAAAATGTTAGTGGCCCTTAACACCCCTGCGGAGGAGGAAACGGAGGTGGCCAAAGAAGAAGAAGACATAATGAAGAGCATTATGTGAGGTCAAATAATTGGTGTACCAGTAGTGAATTTGGTGCAAACTTACCAATTTAGTAATTCAAAGATACAGTACTTTAACCCTTAAATGGTCCAAACGTATATATACGTTTTTTCAACATCTGAAAGTATGTAAAAAAATGTAGATCTTCTTTTCTGTTTTACATTTGAAAACGTGTAAAAAAATCTTTTATCTACATTTTTTTTTTGTCATATTTGAAAATAGGCAAAAAAAGTAGATCTACTTTTGTAGCACTACGAATTTGAACGTCAATCTCTTTGGACCGTTTAAGGGTTAAGCCAGGAAAATCTTAAATTTATGACATTTCAATCCACACTGGAGCTACACTAATTACTGTACCTGAAAAAGCCCTAAGTGGGTGAGACAATGTAAAATAAAGTCTTCCTGTGTAAAGTGCCTTTGAAGTACTGCTTGTTGGCTTATACTACTGTCTATCTTCATGAATTTGAAAATAAGTCTTTGTGGAAATTAGGAAAAGGTGTGGAGTTAATAAAAGTATTAGTCAGAGGGCAGAAGAGGGGTTGTTGAGGTGGTTTGGTCATTTAGAGAGAATGGATCAAAGTAGAATGACATGGAAAGCATATAAATCTATAGGGTAAGCAAGGCGGGGTAGGGGTCGTCCTCGAAAGGGTTGGAGAGAGGGGGTAAAGGAGGTTTTGTGGGCAAGGGGCTTGGACTTCCAGCAAGCGTGCGTGAGCGTGTTAGATAGGAGAGAATGGAGACGAATGGTACTTGGGACCTGACGATCTGTTGGAGTGTGAGCAGGGTAATATTTAGTGAAGGGATTCAGGGAAACCGGTTATTTTCATATAGTCGGACTTGAGTCCTGGAAATGGGAAGTACAATGCCGGCACTTTAAAGGAGGGGTTTGGGATATTGGCAGTTTGGAGGGATATGTTGTGTATCTTTATATGTGTATGCTTCTAAACTGTTGTATTCTGAGCACCTCTGCAAAAACAGTGATAATGTGTGAGTGTGGTGAAAGTGTTGAATAATGATGAAAGTATTTTCTTTTTGGGGATTTTCTTTCTTTTTTGGGTCACCCTGCCTCGGTGGGAGACGGCCGACTAGTTGAAAAAAAAAAAAAATATATATATATATATATATATATATATATATATATATATATATATATATATATATACAGTGGACCCCCGGTTAACGATTTTAATCCGTGCAAGAGGGCTCATCGTTATGCGAAATAATCGTTATGCGAATGAATTTTCCCCATAAGAAATAATGGAAATAAAATTAATCCGTGCAAGACGCCCAAAAGTATGAAAAAAATTTTTTTTTACCACATGAAATGTTAATTTTAATACACACAAACTGAAAAAGGCATGCACAATTACATGACACTTACTTTTATTGAAGATCTGGTGATGATTGATGGGATGGGAGGAGGGAGAGCATTATCTTCTTACTGTTTAGAAGGGGAATCCCCTTCCATTAGGACTTGAGGTAGCAAGTCCTTTTCTGGGGTTACTTCCCTTCTTCTTTTAATGCCACTAGGACCAGCTTGAGAGTCACTGGACCTCTGTCGCACAACAAATCTGTCCATAGAGCTCTGTACCTCCCGTTCCTTCAAGACTTTCCTAAAATGGGCCATAACATTGTCATTGAAATAGTCACCAGCACGGCTTTGCAACAGCTGTGTCAGGGTGATTTTCATCTATAAAGGTTTGCAGTTCAACCCACTGTGCACACATTTCCTTAATCTTTGAAGTAGGCACAATGGATTCCACAACTGGCATAGGCTTCTCAGGGTTAGCCCCAAACCCTTCAAAATCTTTCTTAATTTCCATACTAATTCTCACCCTTTTTACCACAGGGTTGGCACTAGAAGCTTTCTTGGGGCCAATGGTCACTTATTTTCCAGAAACAGCACCGAAAACACTGTAATAATACGAAATATTCCGAGTGTATGCTTGGATGTTACCGCGGAGGCTGGCTGGTAAACAATGGGACGGCCGGCACATGTGAGGGCACATTGGACGCGTCTCGGACGAAAATCGGTAAGCGGGTTTTTAATCGTATGCGCGGCAAAAATTTTGCGATAAAAGTAATCGGTATGCGGAAAAATCGCTATGTGATGCCATCGTTATGCGGGGGTCCACTGTATATATATATATATATATATATATATATACAGTGGACCCCCGCATAACGATGGCATCACATAGCGATTTTTCCGCATAACGATTACTTTTATCGCAAAATTTTTGCCGCGCATACCGATTAAAAACCCGCTTACCGATTTTCGTCCGAGACGCGTCCAATGTGCCCTCAGCCAGCCTCACAGTGCCCCCCGCTTAAGACACCTATAACAATCGTGCCATTTACTGATACCTCACACAAACTCCCCAAATTTCAGTGAGAAATTAAAGTCACTAATAACAAACAGACAAATGAAATAAGCACCACCTTCTCTTAGCAGGAGACTTCAAACATCAACCTTGGCTTACTAGATGATCAGCCTGTAACTGATTTCATCAACAATATGAACAACACACTTCTCATCCAACAATAACTAAACCAACCAGGCTCACTAGACAAGTGCAACCATAATAGACCACATATGGACCATATACTAGCCCCCTAAAACAGGGATAATCACAGATAGCACACCAGACCACTACCCAACCTTCTCCCAGACAAACATTAAGTAAAGCCACCACTTGAATACAACAAAGTCTCATTAGGTACTCGCATGACGAGGCCCTACCTCAATAAGGAAGTTTCACAGCTGACCTAGAGATTGTTACTGGCCCTACAGAATTCTCCAAGTCCAATGGTAATTGATGACTGACAGACATTTTTCTTAACAAATTACTTAGACTATACCAACAAAACATTGTCCTATAAAAACTGAAACAGGTCACAAACAAACGGCTTGGGTGGGTTGCCCATGTCTAACCCAGCACCATTCTGAAATCCATTGACAAGAAACACCAATAAGAAAAGCAATACAGACAGGGCATAATACAACAAAGATAATCTAACACTATTCATCAGTTCTCACCAAAGTAATAAAGAAAGCCAAACAACTATACTACCCAGTAGATTCACAGAGCACTAGAAGGAGATATAAAAAAAGACCGAAAACACTCTCTGGCAATTCAAGGGACCCACAAACTGAAAAAAAACAAGAATATTGTCCTAACTAAACCTAAGAAAACCGCAGACAGTCCCCACTGACACAGCTAACAAGATAAACGACTTCTTCTCGAACCCATAGATCTAATCTCGCCAATAAAACCCACATACCAATGCCGACATGCCGGGACCTACGTCGATGGAATTTCCCAATTCCCTTCTATCTTGCACCAACTGAGCCCTCGGAAGTCACCGAGATTATAAAGTCCCTTAAAAACAACACAGGGAATCTGTCTATTCCCACCATACTGCACAAGCGAGCTGCCATATCCTTCGCAACTATTTCATTACTTTTTAACAAGTCACTAAAACTAAGCACCTCCCAAAAACTACTACTCCAAGATGGCAAGGGTTACACCAATACAAAAAGGTGGTGACCCTCAGATTTAAACAACTATAGGCCAATACAACCTTACCATTGCGTATCCAAAATCTTTGAGAAACTCGTGCACTGGAGACATATTCATTTTATAACAGCATAAAACAGACACAACCCCTCCATTTGATTTAGGAAAAAAAAAAGCACTAATGATGCAATCATAAAAATGCTAGATCCTGCTTTACACAACAGCATTGGAAAATAAGGAATATCCACTGAGGAATTTTTATATTGACCTAGAGAAAAGCTTATGACACAGTATACCACGACATCCTACAACTCCACAAAACTTGACCATTACGGTAATAAGAGGCCATGCGCGTTGCTTATCTCGAAATCTTACCTACTAATAGGTATCAGTATGTCACCATAAAAGACAACAGCATCAAACAACACGGTCCAATTGAACACTGGAGTTCCCATGTAACTGTCCCTTTGGTCCTTCTCTCCTCATATACATCAATGATCTTCCAAAACTAATCCCAACACCTGAAACCCATTCTCTTTGCTGACGACACGACTTATGTCATCACTCACCCTAATCTTGCCACCCTCAACACCATTGTTTTCTGAAGGACTGAAACCTAGAACAAGTGTTTAATTGTGATGAAACAGTGCCTGTTCTGAAGAAAATGCCCAATCAGGACCTACATTACTCCAGGAGGAAAAGGTCACTGCCCCAGGTCATAAACCTATGAAAGAACAGGCTTACTTTTTGGTGTGTGGCCATGCTACTGTGATTGCAAAGTGAAGCCCTTTATTTATGTATCACTCTGAAACTCCCAGAGCGTTCAGCAAAAGAATGTCCACAGGATAATTT